AATTAGATTTCCGGTTCAGCTTTCTGTTAGGGTAAGTGCTAAGTTTGGGATATGGAAATATGTAGCAGTCCTGGAAATTAAAGCAAGGTGTTCCCTTAACTGTTATAACTGCCTATAACTGATTGCGATCCCTCTGTGTCCTGAAACGACACTGAAATATCGCATGCTATTAAAGCCTGAAGAGCTAATTTGAAGGTTTATCGATGCCAGACTAACACTTTGAGCACGAAAATCGCTAGTAATTGTAAGGGGATTTTCCACAAAATAACAAGTTACATATGTGACGGCGATTTATAACGGAATATTGCTCAATAAACGCAATATATGTATTTTGTAGGGCTGTCTTTGGAGTGCCCTGCATACTTTGCCATAAGGCAAATGTTGAATATTTGAACGGCTGTACTTCAACCCACGTTTATTAATTTGAAGAGCATATTACAAACTGCGGAAAATTGGCTGTCATATCGTTTAGTGGTTTGCAATTTGGAAGGTCGGAACTTGTGCAGCCTAGAGATCCGGAGACTTACATGAGTTTGGTTTTTCTTGTCTTCTTTTTCTTTGAAGAATACTTGACTACCCAGTCTCCACTGTTCTTATTTACTTACCCGCATTCGCTTATAAGAAGCTGACCCCAGTTTACATTACTGCATAGCTTTTTAAAGGTGGCCTTCTAGGTTGCAAGCTGGGTCCTGTTACAATCTAAATGCACTTAAGACGTTAAATGGGATTGTTAGGCAACGTAAATTATAATAGACTTTTGCGGTTAATGTCTCGAACCAACCGCATCCTTTGAAGTCACGTTGAGACATTAGGCCTAAGAGCAGAGTGCAGGTGAAGTAAATTCAAGTAAACCATCCAGTATATGAAGCGGCATTTGGGAAACCATATTTTTTTGAACTTTCAGACAAATGAACCTTAATTCAGTTGACTCAAATAGTGAGAAATTTGCGGCTTCAGTGGGAGTCGAATCCACACAACAGAGAAGGCTTTTGTGCGGCCAACGACCTACCATTGTGCTACGAGGTTCACCCTACGTCGTGAGGTTAATCACACTTGGATCGATTCACCCTCCCAACTTACTGCTTGTATGGAATCCACCACTACATAACACTGACTGCCCAGGCAGGATTTTCCAAGCAATCATCTAGAACCCACTGGAATGACTACTAGGCTCACTTAATTGTTGGGGGGAGGATTGGTAGATTTGCTTAATTAAGTTGACCCAATTGTGAAAAATTAATTAATGGTTTTCTTTAGCATGCGTCCGAAAGAAATGTTTTTCTGTGAGGTAGTAAGAAGGTGAGTCTGATAGAGAAATGACTCAAAAGCAGAAGATGCGCTCGTTGGAACAGTAAGCTTGTTGGCCTGACGTTTCGGATTCTCACTCGAAAGCATCATCAACAAAAACAGTTGCAGGTAAGGGTCACTGGAGATGCAGGATCACTGTGGTATGCAGCTGCTCTGCCACCATATGCGTACTAGAATTAGCAGTAGCCGCGGTCGTCGTGGGAGGTCGTATT